GTTCTTGATCATCTCTCTCAATTCCGGTCGATGCAGTTCAGCTTTTGCTGGAACCGCTTTCGGCATTGCAGGGACACAAAATTTCGGTCTATCCTTTGGAATGACCTCCCATGTTGACACACTAGGCTCACCTGAGGGGCTAGGGTTTACCCGAAGCTTTCTTGCAGTTGCAACCGCACCTTTCTTCTTCTTCGGACCCTTTGATGCTGAGCTTGATGCAGCACCGCCGCTGCCAACAGCCATCTTTTCAGCCTCCTCCTCAACAAGCTTTTGCCTATCCTTCGGACTAAGCATTTTCCAAAAATCCGATGGGATCGACTCAGGGCGTTTTGACCCTTTGTACGTTTTCACGAGGCGTGTGCCGTCCCAATGATAACCATCCGGGATTGGTGTTCCAGTTGGAGTGTATTTGATATCAGGAAAAACTGGTTCCTCAGCCGGCCTTTCATCACTGGCAAGTGCGTCAAGCACTGCCTCCGTTGACTTGTCAATTGCTTCTTCACTTGTTTCTGCATGTTCCTCTGTTTGCAATTCGGATTGAAACGGAATCGGACGAGGATCAGCAATGACATTGTCAGCAAGGCGGTCCGGCTTGGGCTCTTTGGCCTCTTTCAATGCACGGAGTGGGAAGACAAAACCTCCCGCGATGAGCTCAACACGTCGTGCTCGCTGCACGGTGATGCTGCCCGTTTCTGCATGGTAATCCAATGCTTCTAACTTGGCAACAAGATACTCACCTTTCCATGCAAAACCAGGTTGAATATGGTATCCTAAAAAGATTCCATCATTCGCTGTTGGTGATGTCTTTCCAGATGTGTTGTCAACCCTTTTTGGATTGTTCCAAAACAGTATCTTTGCACCGAAAGGAATCAACTGACCTGGAAAATCTTCTTCGAATCTGAGTTTCCATGGGGCATCATCACCGTTGAGCTGTGGCGTTGCATTCACTGCCATGGAGAAATGCTGCATAGCCATTGGCCAATACTGCAATGGAAGACCTGACTGCACGAGGTTTGTGCGTGTGCCTTCAAGCATGTGCCTGATCTCCCTCTCCACAAACGACTTTGAACTGTCCACATACTCTGTTGATGTTTGATGTCTGTACCCCAACTCTGAAATTGTAGCAATAAGTTCTCGTGAATTGTCAGTGTAAACTGCCCCAACTTCATCCTTGTGAGATAAGAAGTGGTTGAAAGCATTGACACATGACTCACTCGATTTTGTCTGACTTGGATAGACGTGTCTGAACTGAGTGTGAATGTCCTTCATCACCAATGCCACTGTTTCACCTTTGACGCCTTCTTCCACATTGGATTTGATTACGGTATGGTCAGCGACAATGTGATCCCCAAAGCTTTTGGTTTCCAACCTTTTCTGTCCCCCTTTCTTCTTTGCGGGTGGCGCCATCATGCGCGCCTTTTGACAGATTTTGCAAAATGGATTCTTGGGGTAATGGCAAAACTGGTGAGATTTACTGCATGCCTCTTGCTCAAGGTCAGATGCCTTTCTAGACCTGACGTACTCGGTTTCACTATCATGAGCTACTCCCTCATCCACGCCTTCTTCCTCGGCACCTTCTGCTTTTGCAGCAACCATTGCAAAAAGACGTAACAGATCACAATCTTTCTTGAACTGTCCACTGTTCAAAACACGACAAGAGCTATCAATAACCGGCACACGGCCGTCTACGTTAAGCTCAATGACTCCCATGTCCGGGCGAATGAAGTAAGGCCTTCCATCAGCTGGCCACACAAAACTGTAACCCTGTTCCATACACCTGACCCCAACCGAAAGGACAGCAGGAGTTTCCTCGAGAATGTATGGTGAAAATGGCTGATGTAGGGCATCGACCTTTACGTCGGCCACCTCATCCGCTCGTGTCGAACCGTTCGCTGTAGCAAGGCTGATTGGGGTATCGCTGACACGGCGGTTTGTCGCCTTTGCAGTCTTCAGCATACCCTCGCTAATCAAATCCTGTTCACTGCCCGTGTCAACCAACCAAACACATCCATCTTTTGATGCCGGTGTAGCAACAGTGGGCAAATGAGTGTTACTGACTTTGTTCTTGGGACCAATCATTGCTCTACAGTGGTTGCATGATACTCCCCCTTCTGGGTCATTGCATCGGAATCGGCATTTGGGCTGCGTCTCACTGCCGAAGAGCTTCACAAGTTCCTGCAACTGTCGGGCCGAAACCTGAGCACGGTGAGCCACGAGTTTGTCGGGTTTTGGCACTGACTCTGAATCAGGGAACGTCTTCTCATAGATTCGGGGTTTGTGCACTACCTTCCTCTGTTCACCTGTTGCTGGGACTTTGATGTATTCCACTTTTGATGAAAACACAATAGCTCTATGGCATTGTTCTTTCATGGCCTTTGTAGCTTTCGGCAACCCTTTTCCCTTTGCTATGCATGCATACCTTTGAGTAATGCATGGCGCAGCTTTTGCACTGGCCTTCTTCTTTGGTGCAGGGCTATTGGGTGCGTTTTGGATCCTTTGTGGGTGCAGCTGCAACTTCATGTTTGTAAAAACACTTGTCACCACGACGACATTTGCCCTGTTGAAAGTAAGTGCATGGGATCTTGGCCATCTCTTCCTTCGATTTTCTGTTGGGGGAACCACTTCTGCTACCACCTTTGCCCTTACCCTTCCTTTTGGGGGTACCAGATCTTGAGGAATCTTTGACATGCTTGTAGGGACAGTCTTTACCCTTTTCGCACTTGCCATCCCTGAACTTGTAGCATATTTTATCCCCTTTTCCGCTCTGGCTACGACCACGGGTTCGACCTCGGTCGCCCTTTCCTTTGCCGCGATCTTTGCCCCCCTGAGCGGGTGCAGCGGGCTGAGGCTTTTCGGTCTGCTTGTTCTTTTCAACGATTCTGTTTCTGTTTGAACGGAGTCTTTCTCTATCCAAAAGATCACGAATGTTTCTCAACAAGAATGCATAAGACTTTTGTTCTGACTTTTCAGGAGCTCTGTCAAATGCTTCAATGTCATACTTCATCAATTGACATTTTCGGATTTGTCTGAGTAAGATGTCTCTGAGAACCAAATCATCTGGCGGGGTTTCCATGCCGGCAATTGTGGCGTCCCATCGGTTCAAAAACCTTCTAAGGTCCTCCACAGATTCTCCAGTGCGAACGACTCCAAGTAGGTCCTCGACGCGGTAGAGACTGCCAGCTTCCTCAGACGTCCTGAAGTAATCTTCAAACATCAAAAGGACTCTCCTACCTCTGACTTGGATCCCTTTCTTTGACTTCTCATCTTTGAAGTTATGGATCTTCGTTGCTAAATCACCTTTGGCCGAGCGAGTTAACGCTGCCGACAATTTGGTGTCAAGTGTGAAAAATTTCCCAGGTTCCTGCAGCTTTTCCTCCAACTTTTCCCTAGGGGTTTTGTTGTCAAAGACTTCATTGAGCCAAAGCCAAGCCTCATCGGGTTTGTCGGAGCACGACTTGACTTCGTCCCTGACATGATTACGCCAGTGACGATACGCTTCTGGGGCAGGCATGTCGTTCAGTTTGATAGTCTCTGCCTCTTTTGTTCGGGGCTTTTCACCATCTGAATCCTTTGAAGTCAGTCTGGTGATGAGATCTAGCAATTGTTGACCTGAAAGACCTAAGCCTGCTTCAGCTGCTTTCTTGCCAGGGTCGCTTGCTATTACTGTAGGACTGGGCACACTATGTTCTTGGTTTGCATCATCATCATTTTGTCTTTGAACTGGCAATGGTGGCAGTTTTGGAGGGGCTGCTGATCCGGCAGGGGTAGTTGAGAACAAGTTGCTCAACCTTTCCTTAGCGTCCATGGCTAAGCTACTCATACCAGTGTTTGGCATGGGTTCTGCTCCAGCCTTGGTACCGACCGCTGATTTTGGGGTCATGTACAAATCGACATTGTTCCCGCCTTGTGTATCATCAACTTCGACGGCTCTGTCGACATTGATTTCCGGGGCGCTGTACTTGTTGAGCTTCTCCATCAAATCCTCCACTTGTCCCTGCAATTGGAAGTTGAGTTCAGCAGCTTGGTTTTCCTGCCTACTGCATTCCTCTCTAATCTCCTGGATTACAGCTTGTTCCTCCTTCTTGAAACCTTCCATGCCATTCTTTGCATACTCCACTGTTTCGTCCACGATTCGTTTACAGTCTGCCTCGAGGCTACCTCTGAGTTCAGAAAACCTTTGTTCGTACTGGGCTGTAACATGGGCTACCTTTTGGTTGGCTCTTTGTTCAGCTTCCAGTGCAACTGCATTTGCAGCATTCTTTAGCTTTGCGTTTGCATCGCTAAGTTCCTGTCTCAGTTTTGCTACCTCATGCTCAGTTGCCGTTTGGGACATTGAATACTCTGACACTAGGTGTTCATGTCTGCGATCAGCTTCTGCACGTTGATGGGCGATTTCGCTAAGGCAAATTCCTTCAAACTCTTGGCACAGTTGCTGGACCTTTTGTTCCATGAGATGTGTGTGCCTCTCCTCTGCCTCTTGCCTGAAAGCATCAATGTTACCTTCGTTGATGTAGGTAAGATTGTTTTGCACGAACTGGAAATAGGCTTGCACGGGCTGTGTGAAGAAACCTTCATCCACTGACATGGGCGTGGGGTTTGTCCCAGCCGGCAAGCTCTGTTGTGAACCAGTTGATGCAGCTATTGTTCCAGTCGAAGGGACAAGGGCACCTCCACCTGTAGCGTCATGTGTTTTGTCCATGGCTTTAGAGACTACGGCTGATAACCTGTATTTTCAGGTTTCAGCTGGGGTAATTTACTTATCCCAAATAGACTGATAAACCTATGGGGCAAAACTAGTAACCGTTAAGCTAGCGACTAAGCAGCACCTTTTTTGTCTGAGCCGCAATGCTACCAAGTACATGCTATATTACAGTGTGTTTTATGTGAGGTGATTTTACACAAACAATTCTTAAATGACATAATTGGCAAAACATTTACGGAATCCTACTCAAAATATCTCAAAATCACAGCTGACAGCGACCCATAGCGGCAGCTTGCGCCTCCCAAAGGCTCACCGTACCATCTGCAGTGGCCGCGGTCAATCGCCCAGAAGGTGCCCATGTCAAGTCACAAATGCCATCCTTGTGTTCCAAGGTGGCCGAAACCTGTCGAGATTGGCGAAATCAGGCGAAATCAGAATTCGTTCAGAAACTTCTTCAATCTTCACCTCTGATCAATTGATTCAGTTGATTCAAGTTGATATCACCTTGGTTTACATTGGTCATATATGGTCATAACATCGATTAACATCGTGTGTTTTCCCATTGTTTTTTTGGTCTGGTGTCGCCTGCCACTGTGCGGGACTACGACTTGCTACGCGCCAGCCGCACTGCGGCACCTGGCCAAGTGCCATCAGCAGCCAACATCAGGACATAAAAATGCAGGACATGCGAAGTGCTCTTTGCAAAGACAGTGACAGAATGCAATTGGCCAACACATCCCTTACAGTCTTTCAGTTGTTTGTATCTGGCTTGTGACAAAGAAATGTGAATCAAGAACAAGTGCTCCGGTGTTCCATGTCTCAATGAACTCAATGAAATTCAATGAAGACATGACCAAAAACCTACCAAAAAACATAACAGAAACAAAGTGAATCATAGTGAAACAACCATTTCTGTCCATTTCTATCAGTTCTGTCTTTTGGGGTCGATGTTTGCTGACCTCCGCGTTTCTCTGCAACAAGCAGCGAGCTTCTGACCAGGCACTCCGACTCCTGGTGGCGGAGGCAGCGTTCTCGCATCGTTTGATCTGGGTCCAAGAATCATTTAGATGTTTGCAATATGTTTGTATAATTTGTATATGTTTGTCACATCCCATTATAATATCATAGATTATCATAGTATATCCCATCATATCATCTCATATTATTGTGAAATGTTGTGAATATCTTTCATTGGTTGACATCACCGCCGAAGCGCGCAGGTTACTCTGGGACTTTTCGTCACTGGCCACACCTCTGTGGGACCGAGTCCCTCCAGCAGAGGACTTCTGCTGAGGCCAGCTGCACCAGCGCCAGCAGCCAGGCGTGCATGGAAAGCTGACGTGGAAAACAGCTGGCTGGCTGCTGTCAGATGTCTGCTGTTGGCTGTCGCTGCTGTGATGCTTTAGCAGTACGATGCTGTACGACTTCTGCGAGTTGTGCAGTTAGCAAGGTCTGAAAGAGATCTCTAAACCGGCGAACAACATCAGGATCCACGACTCAAGTCACTGGGGTTTTGAAGTGTTTCCATTTGCTTTCAACTGGACCCTTGCTGTCCTTGCCAGTGGCTCCATTCATTACAACACTTTGCTTGGCACATGGAGATCTACTTCAAAGTACTGAGCCGAAGATCGAAGGGCCAGAAGGGGGTCGCTTGCAGCCTATATTCGCCATGTGATGCTGGCCTCCAACAGCTGTTGTTCGCTGACTTCATCTGCAATTTAAGTATGTTTTCTGCAATATCGACTTTCAATATTTTCAATCCAGTACCATTTGACCATTTTTTTTTAATGTTTAATCCTTGCTGCATCTTCCCACTCCCAACAGTACACCAGTAACAGTACAAGCCACATGATCCCATGGCCTCGGCTGGAGTTCGTGACTCCCGGTTTCTGAGCGTTGCATTTGCTTTCGCCAATACCTCCGCTCCCAAGGGATCTCCAGGGATCTCCAGGGGTGGAAGTTCCCCCGAAAGGCTCCCCGTCCTCATGCCATGATATGCCATGCGCCTTCAAAGAAATGATGGACATCGCATGAAATTGGGAATATTTTAAGATATTTTAAGATGTCAAGAGTTCGAATATCTCAAAGCCAATCTCATCGCTATGTCGGTAGTTCATTGATCCAGGGCTGCCATGGGCTTCCCCATGGCACCAGCCACTGCAATGGCTCCACAAGCCCTAATGCAGCAGCCTGGAGCATGTTTGTTCGAAGCTGGTGAGTCACTGGTGGCTGAAAACTTTGCGCTTGTGCGAAATTAGCGGCTTTGAACGTCCCGAAAGTTTAGGTCAAGACGAAGGAAAATCAAACAGTTTTTGACGACTTGCAAATGCTTGAAATGCAACGAGTCTTTCCGAAGAAAATCACAGAAAGCTGGGAACATGCTGGAACGGTTGAGCCGGCCAGCCTCATGCATTGCTGTATCACCCATGCTGTTTTGGTAATCCGGGTGCGCTTTGGACTCCAGAAGTAACCTGTCCGGGGCGTTGACCCTGTCGACGGGGCCCCCAGGATATGGTATCGTAGTATCGAGGGCATGTCGGCCTTACAATGGGAGCATGGCCATAGCGGGCAGCCCAGTGCAATGGCGTTGAACCTACACCAGCAAAGTGAGGCAAGCACCTTGCAACTTTTCCTATTGAAAGCTGCAAATGATGCTAGAACTGCTACCCTGGATTCACCAATTGATTCACCAATTGATTCACCAATGATGCACGTATGCATTCACGAATGGATTCATGGAATGCCGGAATTTTCAGCTTGAAGCCCTGATTTCAAGGTTTCACCTCATACGTTCAAGTACGTTCACAAGAAAATCAGCTATTGTAATCCAGTCCTGAACGGTCCAGCAAATCCACACTTGCACCGTGCTGCAATAGGTAATGCACTGCCTCATCGCATTGAAATTTGAGTTGAAACTTTGGACTCTAGCTACTGCTGTCCGACACTCAAACCTAGTCAATGTATCTCAATGTCTCAACATGTCTGCAGCTTAAACAATTTCATCATCATCACACATGTATACAATAATCATTGGTCATCGTTCATGGATCCATGAAATCGTCATCGAGTTCTCTTGGCGCAGGCCTGGGCGGAACCACCAGCACAATTGTAGTGCAAGGCAGTTCGACCTTTGCTATCCACCTCATGCTGAGATGACAAACTGGTGTCATGTCATTCATCCAATTGGGCTCACAGAAACTGGAGAATTAGAAGATATTAGAAGTCCATAAGAGGTCCACAGAGTGCACATTGCGAACTACATCGAACTACCTTAATGGCCTTAATGATCCGAATTTCTTTTGCTAATTTTTCTACCACTCTGACGCCGCCCAGAGATTGCTGAGCTCTCCAGCAGCATCCAGGAAGCCGCCAACCTCCGTGTACAGCTGCAAGAAGAAGAGGTTTCCATCTAATGCGGCCTGGCAATCGCCAATCGACTGACGACCTGTGTGTCTGAGGCTATTGATGGCTATTGTAATTTCATCGAGCAGGATTGAAGTCGGGTTGAAGTCGTAAAGTGAATGAATCGTTTGAAGAATTTGAACACATTGAAATTGGTCTTTCCGTGTTTACCATCAAGATTGCAATGGGAAAAACAACTACTCAAAGCACCTGGCTTCAGTGCTTGAAGCAAACTTGAAGTCTTCCCCAAGCGACTTGCCCATGCCTGAAAAAGATTGGTAGTACGACGTGGGTCCTGGAGATGTGTTACTGACACAGGGCGTATGCGTACTCCAAGCACCTATGGATCTGTCGGTATGGGCCGGTATGGGCATGGTCCTTCCAAGAGGAAACTCCCAACTTCTCATTGCGCCAGTACCTGGAGGCTGTGTCAAATCATCAACTCATGGCCCCTGCGTAACTTTTTAATACTTTTTAGTGGAAACACACGAGACTTGGCGATGCAGATTGGCTGATTTGTTCAGATTTGGTATCACCTGGTATCACTATCACTCAATGGGCACCGTTTTCCATCCTCCTCAACCTGCCACCAGGGCTACCGATGGGTGTCTTTCAATGCCATGGTCCGGTGCTGAGTTTCTGCTGTTAAAACCCACTGTCAGTTTTCCTGGCCTGGCTCCACCTGAGCTTGTCACAAGTTGGAAGGAACATGATCGTCACTGTTTTGACGCTTCACTTCATTATGTGCAAACGTACCAAAACGAATTGATGCAGGGCACCCGTTTAGAAACAAACACCCTTCTGATCCTAGTTTGTGTTAAGAAAAGACAGACTGTGGACACATACCAGATACAGTATCGATTTTTTCGAAAGCGTCGTGATCTTCCAACGTGAATTCAGTGTTCCTTTGAAGTCCTTACACGGGACAGAGATTATATTTGACATAAGCTTCATAAGCTTCATAAACCAATTGAAACTGCTCTAAAGAATCAAAACCAATGTGCCGCATATGTCGAAGATGCCTGGGTTTTGTGTATCCCTATGTTTCGAGTTTGGAAAACAAAAAATCCCTCCATTAAACTGGGCATCCCAGCTCACCAAGCACAGGGCCAAGCTCTGGTGGCATTTGCCTCGCCCGCGATCCAATTCAATATTCTGGTGACATTTTTCAATATATTCAATCCAAGCAAAATGCGCCATTTCCAAACAATATTTCGATGTAATGGATATTATTCATACATATTAATACTAAACACATATTTCCATGTCACTTGATTACCTTAATATATCCTTATATAAGTATAAGCATATAATTACAGATCATATACATAGTAGTAATATCAGTTCCTATCAGTTCCTAAGTTTCCTACGTACCTTTGCCGTGCCGCAGCTGACGCTTTTCCGCGCGGTGGTCCAGTGAGGTCACGTCTCGGCCCGCGGGTCATCCGTTGCCCTTGGCTCAGTCCTTGGAATGCAGAGATGCCTCCAGCTTAGCATGTGCCTGGAGCGAGATGCGAGATAACCATCAAGTTCTGAAGATTCACGCAGAAATATGCAGTTAAATCTGCAGAATGCCGAATCACGACAGTTGTGTACAGTTGAGAGGCCTCCTCCTTCATGAACTGAGAGCGCTCCTGCAAGGTCAGTTTAGAAACCAAAATTCTGACACCCTTTGAGTCCAACACAAAATTGCAAAAAGACATCGCGTTTATGTTTGCCGCAGCTTCCGTGACATGGATACAAACCCATATCCATGACTTGTGCCATCATTGACTGCTGTCATTACATCTTTGGGATTCTTTTGGTGACAGAAATGTGACATTTCGATTTCTTCGATTTCTGACATTTCTTGTCTCGATCTGGTGGTGCGTAGCTCCTGGGCCAAGAGGAACTTCATGCTCTCACTGATGCGCTGGCGCTTCTTGACCTCCCTGGCACGGATAAGATGAGCTTGGCATAACTTTGCATCCTCATAATCCTCATAGCGATTTATGACTTCTTTGTTGCTTGGAACTGACCGATACACCAAATACATCCAAATACGCTTGATCAGCCTCTCTTGGGCAGTGTGAGTCTCTGTATCGAATCACCAGAATAAAGATTTAACTTTACACCATCACACAATTGCGTTATATGTTTGTCATTGGAATGTTTAGTGCGGTTCACAAACACCAAAAACAATCATGTGCGGTGCCAAGTATTCTTGGTATGATTGAATTGTAGCTAGCAAATGACTCCCTGAAGCGCTGCTGCTTCATCAAATAACTAGAGTCAGTTCATTCCGAATCTGGAAACATGACACTGATCATAAGATTCACTGCAAAGCACAAATCGAAGACTGAGACCAAAGTGTTGACATGCAATGATGCAACTTCTTGGACCAGGCATGTCTGTCTTAGACTTGGGTACCCCACGGTTTATCATCATTTTGTCCACTAGAATAATATTATTTTTTCTACTGGTTGTCAATCCTCCCGAGACAAACCCAACTTAGATAATAGTCCAATAATAGTTGTATATAGTTGTTATTTCACACATCTTCACATTTTCGATTGCAGACCGAGTGTCGAGGAAGGACGCTGGGGCACCTGCACTGGTGCACACCAGCAGCTTCAATCAAAACAACTTCCTTGAAACTGCAATGTGCCACAATACTGCAAACCTGAAGTCATACCCACAAAAGAAGAAACCGAAGAAACAGCAAACAAACCCATGTTGCGTGGTACACATTGCACTTCCACTGCACCTTGTTGTAGTGCACCTGCTCGAACTCCTTCTTCTCATAGTTGAAGACGTGAGGCATGATGAGTCACAGAGAAGCACCACGAGGGGCAAATTGCGAATCACTGGCTTGAGGCGAGAGATAGCTGCAGCATGCTCCATCTGATATTGAAACTTTCCACTCCATATTCTTGTCCAAATTGTGAGTGGTTGATAGTGGTGGTAGTTTCCATCCATTCTATTTTCTCAAATGAATCGTTGATCAGAACTGAATAGGAAATCTGAACCTTTTCCATCTTTTTTGTTTTGCATTGTTTTTCTGCATCTGCATGGTGCAACCGTGCAACCGTGCAACCACTTGGCAGGCACTTGCAGGCACTTGGTCCCTGGCCATTGAGAGGTGTTGGAGGCAATGTGATGAAAGAACAGTTTGCCCTGAGGAGACCTGAGACGATGGGACTCGATGGGACAGAACATCACTGGAATGGTCGGTGAAACGGTGAAACATCACTGGTTAACGGTGAACGGATGGTTAACGGTTATAGTCATAGTGAATTCAACAGCGTCTGTGTTTTGCATCACGTATCCCAGGCCAAATTCAACAGGACTGCTCACATGGCCTCACCGCATCTGCGAGCGAGACACGTTTGGATTGTCCAACCACGCCATTCATCCCCATCAGCCTCACAGTGTGACACACAGGAGAAACATGGACAAAATCTCGTCGAATGGTGTGGAAACTGGACATAACTGGACAAAACACTGATGCATTTCGAGTGCTGTTACTGTTCAGCGGAAACTGGGAACAAAACATACAACACTCTAATTGCCTCCATAATCGAAAGCCTGGAAAGTGGATCAGATGAAAATCAGATTCGCAATGTTTTGCATCCCAAACGCCTTGCTGTTGTTTGCCAGCAGGGATTGATCTGCCACGCTATGGGCACCTAACTTTGGCCCACTTGGCGATGGATCCTGGAACCGGCGGAATCAATGCGGCTGCAACAGTTCAGGGAGCCATTTCAGGCTGTCACAACAATATATGGAAATGATTTCAAATGTATTACAACATCGCAGCCTTTGCAACAAATTACGTCAGCAAACCACAAAAATTCAACTGGACTACCTTGTGAACCATATTGCAACATTGAACCTCCTGGAACCGCCGGGCTCTTTCCGGTCAACATTAAATGTGTTAAATCTCACCACTAGTCACTAGGCCATAGGCCTAATACCGAATTTTTTGTGAACCCTGTGGCCCTGTGCCTTATCCGCTTGGGGCGATGCATAGCCTTTCAGCTTTGACCCATGTGCCGAACTAAGGCTGGAGAGACTAGGAATGACTAGGAACTTGCAGTGGATACCTGCCTGTGTTTATTTGGAGCATGTCGGGAAACAAACATAGATAGATAGTCATGCGAAATGTGAATTGATGTGAATTGATGTGAATTGTGAATTATCCATCCCATGGCCTCTGCATGTTTTGTGTTTTTATGTGTTTTTGTTCCGTCCGATGTTAACAATGTCTGATGCAGCTGCGCCTGCCCCACCAAACTCCAGAGATCCACTGGGACCTGACAAAATCAATGGAGGGACGGACACGAGTGACACGAGTGACACGAGTCACTATTCCATATTCAGCCGCCAAGAGTGAGCACAGTGAGCAACGTCATTTACCGATGTCCTGTCCATCTCATGAAACCCTGTCCAGGTTGACTCATGGCACTCTGAACATTTGTCAATAGCAATCCTAGTTTTCCCATGTATTTTCCATATAGAAGCTGACCCAAGGCTTACCAAACACAGTATTCCAACTTGGCTCGAAGTGAAATAGTGGAAAGAACCATGGAAGAACCCTGAAGACAGGATCCATCGTTGAGATGCCTTGGTTGCTTCGCTTACACGACCTACAGCTAACTACAGCAACTATGGTTGATCACCTCTACAGACTTCCAAGAGCAGTGTCACACCATCCTCTGACATTAAGATACATTAAGTATTCGCCAACTGAAAAGAAATAACATGTTTGAAAAAAAAATAAAATCATCTAAAATCCACCATGGTCACCATGATCCGTCGCCATTTCCACCTCCCGCACAGCTGAGGCCCGAGACTCCGTCCTGTGGGCGTTTTGAATTCCTGTCGCCGAGTCAGCGGTAGCCGGGCAGCCGGGCAGGCTGGGTACCGTTCACCGAATCCTGAGGTTCCAACTGACATGGGACTGCCAAACGGAGCTCCCCCTGAGGCTGGGATGCTGGGATGGTCTTGAACTGTGTCCAAACACATTCAACATTATCAGATTATTATCAGATTATTACAACCAAATTTGTTTCTGGTGCGCTCGACTCAAGAGACACCCCCTCAGAAAAAGGAGAGATCATACTGGACTTGAGAATTGTATGAAGACTCAATGCAATCTATGGCCATGGCGTCCAATCGTTCTTGTGTGCTGCAGCATCTCCTTTCTGTTTGTCGTTGCCAAGTGCCGTCCGCTAGCTAGGTCTTGCGTCCAAAATGTTGGCTATAAAAAGAGGCAACGAACTTCAAAGTCAAGCAATTCCTTTGATGTGGATCACACTAGGAATCGAACCTGCCGTTGTCTGACATGCTTTCATGGCCTTCAGAATTTCTAGGATCAGGGCGCAAGCTGCCTCCCGACGCAGGTTTCCTCCATCCCAAATGACTGGGTAGAAGGCTTTTGTCTTGGTGTCATATCTCACTTGTCCATCTGGCATGACCATGCTACAAGCCATCAGGGCATGCACAAATGGATTGGAGATCCGCATTGACATGACTTCCTGGTCCAACCGGCCAGAATAGCCAATTCCATTGCGCATTCCAAGAACTGTTGAAGCCTTTCCATCACGGATCAGCCCCTTGCAAAGCTCAAGCTCTCCGCCAGCACAGGTTTGTTCGAGGTCAGAGATCAAGTCTTCAACTGAACCGTGTAATGTGATGACTTTCCGCATTTCGCTGCTCTCCACCAAATGGAAACCTAGGCTTCCACCTTGACATCCGTGTTGAACCCTGCATCTGAATGGTCTCAAAAGTCTTGACCCAAGTGGCTCCAGGCCACCAAGTGCCATCCCCTCGGTGAAACGAACACTGATGGCTTCCGGCTGTGGATTTCGGTCACCGAAGAGAGCGCCCAGGAATTTGGACAAAACCTGCTGGGCTTTGGATGCTGGGATGACCAACGATGGCGACTTCCCCAGGTTCACTGCTGCATTCAGCTCACATGAGGTGATACGACTGGGTGGAAGATGACAAATGTCTTCGATGGATTCATAGGTGCCGTGAAGGATGGTGCAAAGGTCTGGGTTCTTTTCCCAAATGTTCTGGAAGATCTCCTGCCACTTCACTGTCATCTGACCTCCAAGGCCAAGACCGAACAACCCGACAGCATTCCGCTCCGAAGGGGCAAGTAACTGAATCAATCTCTCACCCGAATGAGTGGCACGAAATTGCCAGAATGGTCCAGGTGTCCACTGACCAACTCCGAGCTGCTTTCCCACCGAGCTGAAGATTTTAAGGTCGTAACGAAGTGCCTTCCCTCGAGCTGTACCGGCAAGGAGCATCCCAGAGGCATCCAATGGGCAGAATCTGTCGCCATGACCGATGTGTGCTAGAAAATCGGGTGGTAGAAAACTACTTTTCTTCTTGCCCGTCAGGTCTGCATAGCTTGCCATGAAGAAGTGGTAGCTTGGACTGTGAGGATCCCCACAGAAAGGGAGAGGTTTGCACTGCTCCCAGCAGTGGAGGATCACATCCAATTCGGAAGTGTCATTTTGGCTCGCTGAAAGGACGAATTTCAGACCGCTGACATAACACCCATCATCCATTGAGTGTCCACAACACGACCAGCTCCGACCTTTCTCCTCACGGTGAACACGAGTGACTCCAAGGATGTTGCGATGTAGTGGGAACTCTTCCACAACGCAGCCACTTTTCGGATCACTCACAAAAGCATGAACAATGTAATGCCCTTGGGGCATTGCGTCATTCCCGGAGTGTGCCACTAGTTTCATGGTCTCTTCTTGGCCATTCTGGTTGGCCAATGTCATGGCAACCCAAATGGACTCTGAATTGGTGTCCTCATCCTGATAGACTTTACAGTCCAGGACCTTTTTCCCGATGAAGTAGTTGCTGGAGTCCCAGCTGTCCTCCTTCCACTCCAAGTCGTTCCTCAAAACTGCACACATCTTCCAGCAGTTTTGGCAAGCGGGCGCCTTGAGAGCTTCCGGCTATCATGCAAACCCATGCCACGGTACAAATGTACAAAGCATGCACAATCCAAGATGTGATGCATTTTCTGCAATCCCTCCTTTGCTTCTACTTAGCTTCTGCTTAAATCATTTATAAATTATTTATATAAATATTACTCATTTCATTTCTCATTTCATCTTATTTCTGATCGCTTTTCAAACGCGGTCAAACCTCCAAGTATTTTCAAGACTCTTTGCACCCGAGCCTGCACCTGGTGAGGCACCAGGTCGGCGTGGGGTGCCTCAGCAGCGATTGGACTTCCGACCTTTCTCTGGCGCTCAGGCGGTTGCTCAACCGGTTTGAGAAAACAGCAGGGTTCATTGTATATAATAATATTTAAATTATAGTATATAATATACATTGATAATAGGGTATAATACTATCTGATTTACAGATTATCATTGTGAAATTATGATTTGTAGTATATAATATAGTATCTTAGTGTCAATTTGGGACATTGCCATGAGTGCACTGCCTTGACAGGTTGGTCAATCGCCAGGGACCCTTGGCTCAGGAGCAGAAAAGGTGCCCGTTCGTTTGCCCTTGGTTGGGCATGTGGTTTCGTCATTGGTAGCGGAGCCAGGCGAATAGGGCCTGGCTCCGACGGGTAGGAACCCGTGCCGGAGCGCCATGAGTGCGGCGTCTTCGAGCGCCGATGCCGGAGGGCATGTGAGGATGTTTAGCGGCGACAATGAGGACGCCAAGGAGTATAAGAGATGGAAAACCTGGGTGGCAAATAAGTTGCTCACTTTGAGCGACAAGGTTCCGAAACAGGCTCATGGAGCCTACGTGTACACTCTTTTGAGTGGCAAGGCCTTGGAGTGTGTGGAGCACCTGGACCCTGCCGAGTACCAAAAGGAGGATGGACAAGCTGTGTTGTTCAAGCTGCTGGATCAACGGTTCCCTCAGAAAGACAACACAGACGAGATGGCAGAGGTCCTGAGTGCGGTCTTCTCCCTGAAGGCGACCGAAGGCGAGTCGCTGAAGACTTGGGTGAGTAGGGCATCTGAACTCTTCGACAGGTGTCAGAGGAAATGCAATGTCTCACTCCCGGAGGAGGCACGGGGATGGATAGTGCTCAGGCGATCAGGCCTGAGCGAGGAACAGCAGGCGGTAGTGCTTGCCAGATCCCTGGGAGTGCTAACAAGGGAGGAAGTGAGTCGGGCCATGAGGTCGTGCTACCCCGACTTCACTGCTCCTCGCAAACGAGCACTTGGAGCTGGCATGGTTGAGGACGAAGTTTTCCTCGAAGCCTCTGGTGATCTAAGTGAACCTTGGGATGAGGGTGAAACCTTTGAAGATGTGGAACAGTTCCTTGCTCAGCATGAAATGGTTGAGGTAGAGAATGATGATGAGCCCGAGATCTTCGCAGAGCGTGACGTAGCCGACGTCATGGCTGTCTCTTGGAAAGAGAAACGCAAGGAGATCACCAAGATGCAACGAAATCGGCGTTTTAGCCAAGCCGCAGATTTGAAACGTCAGTTTCGGGTCGAGGTGGAGGAGATCAAGAAAAAGACTCGTTGTCACCGATGCGGAGTCATTGGCCACTGGAGTCGAGAGTGCAAGCGGCCCCGAACTGAGGGCAAGAGCAGCGGCAAGGGTGTTCCCTCTGGCTCGGGAGGTCAATCCACTGCCAGGAAGGAGTCGGGAACGGCCTATGTGGAGCACTTCATTGCTTCAGTTGGGGCCCCTGTCACCATGATCGACAGACTGCGAGACCGACTGAATCACACCAAACCTACTGAGATGCAGGAGGTCAACGAAGCCCTTCTGGTTTCGAGTCCTGGGTTTGGAGTGCTGGACAGCGGTTGTGGCAAATCGATCATGGGGAAAAAGACTTTTGAGGGCTTCGTTGAACTGTGGAAGGCTCAGGGTATTCCTGTTCCAGAGCCTTATGCAGAGACCAATCATTTTCGATTCAGCAATGGACAGCGTGAGACTTCTGAGATGTCAGTCAAGGCACCGGTGGTTCTGGCTGGTAAATCTGGAGTTGTGAGAGTGGCCCTGGTGAAAGGAGAGGCCCCTCTGCTGGTGTCTCGAAAAGCTTTGCAATCTCTACAGGCCAAGCTGGACTTTTCCAAAAACGAGCTCACGGTCTTTGATAGCCAGGAAGTGATTCCCCTGCAGGTGAACAGCGCTGGACAGTATGTGGTTCCACTGCTTGGCAATGCCGTCGAGAAGGCTCCTCCTTTTGAGGAAGTGATGATGTCCGAAGCCGCCGTTGACAGTGAACTCAGTGTCAGGGCAGATGATCCTGCCGATGATGCAGCAGCGCCGCCTGAGACGACAGAGCCTACAGTTTCCGACACCACAGGAGACAATGCAGTCTTGTCCAAATGGGAAATAGATCACTCCTTTTTAGATAAGGCAACAACCACTGGTAAGCAGGGCCCCAGCTGGAGGAGTGTAAGACATAGAATCATTGTGAATCGGGATAACGGGGAAGTAATCCGAGATGAATCAATAGATCATAACTTGGGGAAGCACATGTACCATCAGCCATTGCCCAAACATGTTATGCACACTCGAACAACCTTTTCGTTTATCCCTGAGGAGAATTCACAGGTGATTTCTGAGTGCCTGAGTGTCCGCCAGCTTCGCCAGTTAGAGACACAGGTCCAGAGGTCACACCAAAGGCAAGAGATCTTGGCAGCAAGCTGTTCGACACTGATGGTAGCAGAAGTTTTCTCACCACCACGTTTTTCTCCTGTCGTCAGTGCCCAGGGTTTTCGAGCAGTGTCGTTTGACATCAAGAATGGATATGATTTCACGGTTTCAAGCGTTCGTAGGCAGGTGAAAGAACAGTTAGCTGCAGATCCGCCCCGACTGCTGGTACTGTGTCCGCCGTGCACAAATGAGGGAGGCTGGTTTCATCTGAATAGCTTGACCATGGACCCTCAGGAGGTGTTGAGACGCAGGGCCCAGAGTAGGATGTTTATCCGTTTTTGCTGTGAACTTTTCAGGCAACAGGTGGAGCTAGGTGGCCAAGCACTGTTTGAGCACCCCTCTGGATCACGTCTGTGGACTTACCCTGAGATGCTGAAGCTGTTGCGACAGTACCATGTGGTCAAATGCCATATGTGCCGTTTTGGCCTGCGCCTGCCTGGAAGTCAGAACTTCATCCGCAAGAGCACGAAACTCTTGGTCAGTGACAAAGCCATGGAAGTGCTAGGTCGAACTTGCCCTGGAAGAAAATGTTCTCACCATGTATGTCATGATGTTGTAGCTGGAAGTCATCCCAAAGTAGGTGCAATCAGCAAGTTTGCAGGTCAATACACTCATGCCTTTGTTGAAGCTGTGCTAGACACCGTTCCAGAGTATCGCAACCAAAGCGCAGTGCTGGAGGTGATGTCTGAACCCAGGCCTAGCGAGTCCAGTGTGTCTGAAGTCCTTGCCGCCAGAACTGAGCTCCAAAGTTCGGATGAGGAACAAGTCAAAAAAGCATTGGATAAGCTGCATCGGAATTTGGGTCACCCGGCAACTCATGATCTCATTCGAATCCTGAAGCACGGTCAGGCCAGTGAATTAGCCTTGAGATTGGCTCGTGAGCACTCGTGTGACTTTTGCCGGGCCAGAATCAAGCCACATGTGCCGCTTCCAGCACAGACTCACCGTGCGACCAGTTTCAATGAGCAGGTGGGGATAGATGTCAAGTATCTTCCCGGTTGGAAGCCCAATCAGAAAGTAAAAGCTCTCAACATAGTGGATCAAGCCAGTTGTTTTCAACAGGTTATACCTTTCTATGAGGTCGAAACATCGGCACTTCTGAGGAAATTGTATTCGACCCACTGGGTTGCATGGGCGGGTCCCCCGAAGGAGCTGATACTGGATCCTGCACCAACCAATATGGGAGAGAACTTGCAATCGCAAATGGAATTTGAAGGCACCAATGTGAGACAGATCGCAGCTGAAGCGCACTGGCAGCTGGGCAGAACCGAGAACCATGGAGGTTGGTTTGCCAGAGTACTTGCCAAAATCATAGATGAACACACTCCCAATACTAGAGAAGAATGGGAAGAATGTGTCCGCCATGCTCATATCAAGAACACCATGATTCAAAGCTATGGTTTTACTCCACACCAACATGTGTTCGGTCTGAATCCAAGCTTGCCAGGGGATTTGCTCAGTGAACCTCTGCAGGTAGTTCCAGCCACAGCCGGTCTGACAGAAGCAGCACTGGCAAAAGCCCAGGCGGTTCGCCAGTCAGCCAGAGAAGCCGTAATTCGACTGCAGGACGACAAGTCTCTCCGCCGTGCCTTGTCTGCCAGACCACGTTTGACACAGGCCTTTCAGGCAGGTGATTGTGTGGCCTATTGGCGCCAACAAAAGTATCTACAAGGACAGGTCCAACAAGGTGGTAGGTGGCATGGCACTGCAATTGTTATCGGTCAGGTTGGCAGGAATCTCATACTGGCCCATCGTAGGCAGATCTTCCGATGCGCACCAGAGCAGGTGAGGCCAGCAACCACCGAGGAAAAGACTTTGGTGTCATCACCCCAAGCTGAACTGTTGGGTATCAAGGATTTGATTGAAGGAGGAACTTTCCGCAGTCACCAGTTTGTGGACTTGGTTCCAAGTTACTATCCAACTGCAGCTGAAGGAGATGCATGCGTTTCCACGTCCTCACCACCCGATGTACAGGCAATGCCACCACCTGGAGATGCATCCAGTTCGGAAGTAGTAGCAGATAAAAGCCCTGCTGCCCCCGAAGAGATATCATCAGGTGTGAATCAGGATCCCGAGCCAGAAGAAAGTCAATCAATGAGTGATGCACCCCCCGGAGACAGCATGCCAGCAGAGTCTGCCAGCAGTCAGTACGGTCCTATTCGTAGGCGGGTTCGAGGGAAGGCGGGCGAAGCAACCATGTACCGTCCCCCTGCAATGCGTCAAGAGGATTTTGTGGAGGTCATGAGAGAGGTCATTCCCCATCTTATTGATGAAA